TTTCAACCAAAAATCTGTATTGATACAGCTAGAACTGGGTTAAGCTCATAAAACATCAATTGTAGCTCTGCCTCTTAGCTTTCCAACGCCTAAAGAATCATCTCAATCCGATACCTAGAGAAAAAGATATGGTTAAATTACTATAACATGTGCAAATTGTCACTTATTACAAAATTAATTCATATCTTAATTTCCACCTACACATAATGAAATTAATATAAACAAAGGTGAAACTAAGTTACAAAGGACCCATAATATTAAATTCTAGGCTCAAAAAGGGTAGATAAATGCATATAAAAATTAAACTCATCATATATAATCATAGTCATAGGGTAATTAGGGTGACTTAACCAATACACCCCTATCATCCTACCTCTCTCCAATAAGACCCATCATCCATTTAGAATGTATCATCCTACTATTCAAAGGACATCTCAAGGTAAAATATTCACAAAGAATACCATTATATTTTCACTGGGCCATCTTCCCAAAATCAAGACTAAGTTTTCATGACATATTATACCACAATAATATTCACATTTCGTATTTAAGTTCAACTTCAACATGTATCCCTTTTTCCACAAAGTAGCTATCTCAAGGCTAAAGAACATGATCATGTTAAAAATCAAGAGTTCACTAAGTACATAAAACAAATCTCAACCAATGAAAATAACCACTCAACATAACCATATCCACCCAATATCTTCCTAACATTATTAAATCAATGTTATGTCATACAAACTTTATAGTTCAAACTTAACTTAGAATTCATAAGCTTGTGAAATGTACTTAGAAAACTTTTTAAAAGAATCCTTTTATGTTGATAAACCTTGCTTTAAAAATTTTACACATGCATTATAAGCATATTAGGAAAAACAAACTCAAAACTATACTTAATCAAATAATTGAATAATACCGTAAACAGGATCTATGAACAATACTTGTTAACGATAAAATATATACATTTACCCAAACTAAATCCAAACTCCATTAAGTACCAAGGTTTCAAAGTATGTATTTCTAACTTGAGTTGTCATCATTAATTTTAACTCCACAAATCATATCAACATGATTATTATGACAATTAATATCTCACTAATTTTCAACATGTCATAAAACTAGATCAACATTAACATTAAATCAAGCTTTAGGCAAAACAAGGAAATTCTCTGATTTAGGTAAAAAAAAAAGAAGAAATGGAGAATTGAGAGAAAGGAAGAAACAGAGAAGGGCCCCTTTGTCCAATACTCTTCTTCTTCTTTTCTTCTTTCCTTGTGTTGATGGACGTTTTTATAAAAGGTCAAATTCGGACTTAAGTAGTTTCCACGTCATCAAGACTCACCTCAATCTAAGCGCCCCTTAACGCCTTCAACATGCATTTACCAAAAGGTCCAACAATATCTAATGTTGTAATACATGGCTAGGCCCAATAGTATCTAATGCTACAATACACAACCACATCACTAGACATACATAAGGAAGTTTCATTCCTTTATTATTTTCTTATTTATTAAATTTCATCATTTTCATCAGCTAATCACTATCTTTACATGCAGGTCGTCAATATCCAAGCTCAGGGAGATTATTCGAGATAAACTATGGGAGTAGTGACTTGGCAAGCATGGATGGATGAACATTGCCTGTCTGGTGAAGCAAGCTATTTACACTAGCCAAGCTTGGAGTTGTCGATGTTGCCTGACTTCGCTAAAAAGGGCTGGGGTGGTGAAGATGCGGAGGTTGAGCTTGATCCCAAAACCGTATTGTTTGATACTGCCTAGAAGTGTGGAATCTTGTTCAAAACCAATTAGAGATGTTGTTTTGGTCCCCATCAACAAGTTGCAACTGTATTTAATACAAGGGTGGCTGCACAAGTTACATTGTGTTGGAGACTATTGAAAATGGAATTATTAAAAACAATGGCTGCACAAGTTCCATTACCTTGCAAACTGTTAAAAAATATTACCAATGGGAGTCAAGACAACAGCATATCTACTACGTCATGTGATCCATTACACACCCAAAGAGGTCCAGTCATGTGAGCTACAGCTAAGATGCGTGAAGTTTTAAATGGCCTTATTGAGCATATCTGGGTTGAAAACAACATGCAACAAGCAAATCGAAGCTTGGATGATTATCAAGGCATGGTAAACATCATTCAGGTTCAAAAGAAGCTTAGTTGAGGTCATTTGCATGGAATTACACAGTTTGCGTCAAAATCGCACAATTCTGCCGCAATTTGTAGCAAACTGATATTTCGTGTTATTTTAGGTTATTTTTAGTGATTTTCACATTTTTTGTATTATTTTTGGGTTGAACATTTGCTTATTTGAACCCCAATTCGTGGTTGTTAGGTTTAGGACTTAGGGTGTTAGTTTCCTATTCTGATTAGGATTTGTTTTCTATATTCAAAAGGCTTGTAACCCAAATGGAGAGGAGGCTATTGAATCTGAGTTTTTGAGAGATTTTTCTCTTTGGTTCGTTTAAGAACTTTACAGAACTTATCAAGATTATTCTTGTGATGTTCTAACTTGACTTATCATTCTCGTTCTTAATCGTTCAAGGGTGTGTGGCATCAACCAACTTTATACCTCTGGTTCTTGTTGTGTCATAGACAACGGGTCAAGGTTTTTACCTTTGGTTCTTGTTGCAACATAAACAACGGGTCAAGGTCCGATTATAAACTTGATTTAGCTTTCCTGGAGTTTAGAAATCCCTTGTGGTGCTGTGGGTCTCATTGTTCTCTTTGGGGTTCTCATCAATTACATTTTGCTTGGAAAATCTACCAAAATCTTGGGCAGATCTAATTTTGTTGGCTGCACTCAAATACCCCCCCAAAAATGGTATTTCGTATGGTTAGAGAATTACTAGAAATAGGCAATCTTCAACAAATTAGCATTACTTCATTGGAACCACTGTGTAGTTCATAATATCACTTGTAAAAAGCTATCAACAATATCCAAAGCCACTCAACACTCGACAGCTCACCTAAATCTACCCATTAGACCATTGTATATCTTTGACCCATTAATCAAAAATTACAACAATGCAACTATACATATATATATATATTATTTTCCCTTCATTTTTTAGCATATTTGAAGAGATGAGAATAGTTTTCACAGCTCCAAGTTTCTTTCTCATGCACCAAACCTCCATTTTTCCTTTGAAATAACCTCTATCTTTAACCTTTTCCCATACACACTAAAAATACCCAGAAATCACCATTTTTATTACATTTTCTGCACTTTCAACACTATAGAATATTTTCCAGACTTGCAAAACATCATGGTTGAGAGACAGCATGTTGCAGCTTTAGTTTCTAGGTTATTTTCTTAAGCATCAAAGGGTTAAGTTGAAGACTTAGCATAAAAAATGGAATCAAGCTCTTCACTCATAAGCCCCCAAAATGGTCATCTTTCCTTCTCCCATGACTACTTTCAAGTTTATTCTTTTTGTTCTTGAGAAAACTTCAAATGAGGGATTGTTGTATTTTTCACTTGCAACATAAGGGTTGCTCGCTATAGAGTGGGAGTATTTATTAGGGATAATAGATGGCACATTTATTGTTATTATTATTATGCTACAATATATTATATATAAATGTGCCTCTCAAGTTATAACATTTAATTCTCATACATTTCCACCCCCACTACTCATGCCATATTGTACATCTTCCTTTTATACTTTTGGTAGTTATGTAGTCATTCCTGGCTCTTGGAACTATATCATCTTTAGTTTGCTTTCTTTTTCCCGGCTTAGTTGGAAAATTTATACTTTCAGACTCTGCTAGAGAATTTACTACTGACCAACATCACTGGACAGAACGAGACGGCTCGTGGCACGTAGCCTCTTACATGTGAAACAGGTGCTGTCAAAAGGACCATCCTCATCGTTCATGAGTGACATCCTAGTCAGCCTCCACATCATCACCACTATTGACTCATCAACCTACATCACCAGCACACCCCAACAAAAATGGTGACTCCACTACGAAAGTTGTCCTAGAGCTTTGTCTTGTTCTACTCTTCTTCAACAGTATAATATCTTGAGTATTCTTCCTCAACAAGATTTTTCTAACCATGCCTGTCACGAGAGCAACTTCATCTTGCATCGTTGACAAAATCAAGAGCCTAACCAAGATGATGGACAAGAAGTTCAACAGCCATGTCCACCGACAGACATTTTTAATGATCTTTTGCAAGGAATCACTAAACCTAATCTCGCATGTCTGGTCTAAGTTGTTCGGGTCTTGCACAAGGATCAACAAAGAATTACTCAACTTCTCACCAACTTGCAAGCTCAACATATTGTGCAGGATCCAACGCAACCAGTCAACATGGTTGGGACGTCCTAACCGTAGGAGTTCTAGATTAGAGCTACCAATGGTAATGGGGGCTTTGTTGCACGACCAAATAACTTAGCACTACTAGTAATCACAACTACTAACACCGATAAGGCTCCAACTAATGCAACCAACTCTAGCCAAGGCTTCATCACCATGGCAGATTTTGCTACTCTCTTAGATAGGGAACATTCCAAACAAAGTTCAACCACTTTTCAGTTTGTCCATGATCCACCCTATCAAAAGGAGATTCTGTCCAAGCTGTATCTAAAGAAATATGAAAATCCTATGTTGTCGCGATATGATGGGAAGAAGGGCAACGCTGTGGTACACATCAGCAAGTTCCTTGATGCCATAAAGGCTCACGTCGACGATAAAGACTTGTGCCTACGTGAGTTTTCTAAATCTCTTTTCGAAAGAGCTTACACTTGGTACACAACTTTGCTTCCCAGCTCTATTTGCTCTTGGGATGAAATGGTTCAGCAATTTTGTTAAAAATATTTTCAAATTAAGGAGCACATCACCATTCTTGATCTTCATAATACTTGTCAACGTGTCGGCGAAGATTTGGCAGTTTATATAAAAGGATTTAGAGATTTGGCACTTGATTGCTATGGTGGCCATGCTGAATCTTTCCTGGTGGAGATCTACATCAACAATATGTTCCTAAAATATCATGTTGTCCCTGAAAATATTGAGATCAATTAGTTCGTAAGGTTACTCAGTGCTACTAAGAGAACAATCATTTTTGTCAAAGCAATCTCTATTGGAAAGTTTGTAGCAAAGTCGACAGAAAAGAAAGCCACTGCTCACACCTCAATTGTCCATGCAAAGCAAAGCAAAATGTCTAGCTTTTGAAGCCAGGAATGAAATATCCTATAAGCACTTTGTCTCCTAGTGAAGTTGATTATCTTACACTATTAGATAAGCTTGCCTATCATTTTGCTTAATTAGTATTATAGTCTCATGGCTTCAAACCAACCGACAATCTTATCTATGTGAACAAGTAGCATTTGAATCTTTTACATCTGCTTATACATTAAATGCATTGCTAACACTTGAGTCACATCATCGCTAACCTACCTGAGACGTTACTTCTCTTACATAGCCAGTATTAGTGTCTTATTTTATGTCTGCTAGAGGTGTTATCTTCCATGGCAAGTATTTGTGCCACTTCAAGGCCTACTGGCAGTACTATCTTTCATGGCTAGTATTTGTGCCTCTTCAACGCTTGTTGGTAGTATTATCTATCATGGTCAACATTAGTGCCTTCTTTTGGTTTGCTGGCGATATTATCTTCCATGGCCAGTATTCGTGCATTTGTAAGGACTGTTGGTGATATTATCTTTCATGGCTAGTGTTGGTGCCTTTTTAAGGTCTGCTAGCTATATTATCTTTCTTGACCAGTATTACTGCATCTTCAAAGCCCGCTAGTGATATCATCTTTCATGGCCAGTGTTGATGCCTTTTCAAGGTTTGTTGGCGATGCATATTCAGGGCCTATTCACAATGTTATTTTTCATGGCTAGTATTTCAACCATCCTTGGTTTGTTGGCAGCATTCTTATCTCTCATGACTAGTATTCATGTCACACTAAGACCTACCAATGATGTCGTTCGATCATCTCTTGGGCAGCATTTGTGTCACGATAAACTTGTTATGTAATGGTGTGTCATCCCCCATGATTTTCATTTACGTCATCTTCAACTTGCTAAAGGAGTGTTCTTCTATGACTACTATTTCTTACTAATGATATTCTTACACTTGATAAGTACTTGTGCTACTTTGTCAAAGTGCATCAACAGTTGGGGCTTAGTAGATTTGGCAACCTTTTCATCTATTAACAAAGTATCAATGTGCTCCCCCAAATCCACTAGATCTTGTTGGCCTTATCCATTCTCTTTGGAGGATTGCACATGGATATGGGTGGCCACTATGTATTTCACAAAATGAGAGGAAGCTATATCTTTTTGCAAGATTATGAGCCTAGCAATGTCTTGTTTCATCAATCAACAAATCACTTGCCAACTTTGCTTTTGCACAATCACACGTCTCTTGTTATACAACTTCACCTTCAGCATTGTGGTTTATCCTAGCTAAGGGAATCAGCTCCAACAATCTTCTACCAACTTATCTTTACTTGTTCCAGTGCTACATTAAGCATATGGACATCACAAGTCATAGAGGGTAGATGTTTAAGCATGGAAGGTTAGAGATATTTAACACAAAAACAAGCATAGATGAAATGAGGGCTAAAGAATATGACTAATCATGGAACAAATGGACCAGGCTCATCACCATAATTATTAGCTATTTCAACATAATGCTGACTTCTTTGGGCAACTTCGCTGGGTGACTTTGTTGGAACCCAAGAACTCTTTCTCTTGGCTAAGTAATTTCATATGTGCCTCAACTAACTTCAACATCACCTCCAACTTAAGCATCAATTTTCTCGTATCAACCAAGGATTTCTATGCATTTTCAACATGCTTCGCCTGCTCCTCAATTTGCTCATTCAAGTTGCCAACCATGCCACTCCTAACCATGTTGAATTTGCCTTTGCCAAGGTACACCTTCATTAGCCTGAATTGCTCCAACTTCAAAGTTTATGCTCTTAGCGTCATCTATGGCATCCTTACACAAATGAAAGAATTCCTCATCCATCTCAACAAAGGGAGTTACTTCCATGTGCCTCACAGCCACATAAAGATTTATAAAGGCATCCTTAGTTATTACTTTCTTAGCCTTGTTGTGCATGTTGTCTATATCACTTAACTTGGCTAGAACCGAGAAAGGTTCATCCTCAGACATGATTTTTCCACAGCTAACAGCCTTTTTTGATATGCTCATGGTTGGTTCGTCAACATTTATCTCATCTTTGCTGGGAATGGAATCTTTTGAAGCCACAACTAAGTATGGCACACCTTTCTCTAGTGCAACTTTTTTCTGCCAACTTTGACATCAAACATGCCATCATCTTCATTGCCACTCTTATGGTTGGACTTATGGTTACCTCTTCATGCTTCATCACTCTTGGTGGATTTCACGTCACTATCATTGCTGGACTTTGGGTTAGGCTCATCAGCAACCTTTTTGCCTTTATCTTCATTGGTAGCTACCTAAATCCCAACCATATCACCCTAAACATCTACCAAAGCAAGCAAAAGTAACTATTTAGCAAAGATCTTATTTTTTGAGGAGACAAGACTTCTTTAGTGCCAAGACAACATCATCGGCTTCAAAAAAAGGTGATTCTTTGGGCTTACTCTATTATCATAAAAGATGGCTGGGCGAAAAATGTGATAGCTCCAACAATGGCGAAAATGCTCCATGGCTGTTAAAGAACAGAAGTATGCATACCTTTGTTGCTATCTTAGCTAGCTAATCTTCTATTAGTTCAAGCTTTTTCTTTGCTTTGGGAGTGCCATATGAAATTTTTGTACCTCCTCTTGTCCATATCCATATAAAAGGCAAAAGTCTTAAGGTCTGTAAAAGTGCATGAACTAATATCTCCTAGCCATGACCTTTGTATCATGAAAGTTGCTTGCAAGTGTACTTGACTTACCATTGTGGATTTCCATGGAGAAGCTACACTTTCTTTTGTTCTTTTTTGTTGCACTTTAGCTACAAAGGATGCAAAATCATTCCAATCAAAGATATCATCAATCAAGCCAAGTATGTTGTCAAGTAGTGAAGGCTCATCTGCTTCACCAGTAATGATCTTACGGTGAACTCCTGGCTTCGCTAGAGCCTCCTCTATGTTCTTCGCCGAAGCCTCATCCATGTTCTTCGCCGAAGCCTCATCCATGTTCTGCATCAGAACCTCTACATTCTTGGCCTCTATTGCCTTGAATGAGACTTCATCATTGCTAGGAATAAGAATGGGGTCTAGTCCTTCGTTAGAGGCTAGGGGTTACACATACAAACAATGACTCACGTATGATGATTTTAGTGAGATCAACAATGATGGAAAGTTTGTATTGGCTATGCAAGGAAAGCTCATCAATGCACACTCTTGTCTTCTCTTCATTTTCCTTGGGCATTTTAGCTTTATGAGGAGTGGATGTATTTACTTTGATTTGTTTGCTGGCCAACGAAGCACCAAACTTGTGAACTTCATTCTTGGATGGCTTGGCTATACTCTTTCTTTTGCCTGATGCTAGTTTCTTGGAAGAAATTACTTGGCTAGCTCCACCTACAAAATTGCATGAATAGCATAAGTGCAAAACTATCTCTATTATATATATATATATATATATATATATCTAACCATACCAAGATCTCAAATGAAAGAAGAACTGAGGCTTAAAGAAAAAAATGGAGAAGTCTATTTACCTCCCGCTTCAACATCGCTAGCCTCTTATCCTTGCTCTTTGCTAGTGCCTTCACTTTAGCCATGCTCATTTTTTTGGAATTCCAGGCATAGGCAAACACACAGTGTTTTTGCTTTACATGGTTGCAGCAACATCAATGATGTAAGGCCTCATGGCTAGGTCCCAATTAGAGCTATATAAGAAAAAAGGGTGGCAAAACATCTAAGTCATAGCCAAATTGCCATGCAACTCTATTTGTGCAGTAACTCATGAGGCCCCACAATCTTTCTACATGATACATGATAGCATAAATGGTGTAATCACAACCAATTTCTTTAAGTGGCTTCCATCACCTGCAGCAAAGTCTATTACTTGGTCTCCTAGTGTTGCTGCAATTGTCTTATCGAAAAAACCTACTTTCAACGGTGTAAGCATCCTTAGCATTGTGCATGAAAGTTAGAGCTGACATGATTGCCAAGAGAATCATCAGCATTGGAAGAGATTTGCCTTTTTATTCTCCTCTTCCTTATCTATAAGCAAGCCAACGAAAGCTTCGCACTCTTAGCCAAGTATATGGCTAGGGGAATTTCAATTCAATTTCTTCAAAAGAGGAAGTTAATTTCTAAATTGCTAATAGTTATCTCCAAAGTAGCTTCAACTTCTCTTTAGCTTTAGATTACATGCATAATGCGAGAAAAATCTCTACTTGTTGTACCCCATTCTAGATCCAATATTTTTCAAAAGGGGAAATTGCATCATCACTATTAGAACTCTAGCAACGATGTGATTAAGGCCAACTTTCCAACCATATATCTACAATGTTTAGAGTCATCACTCAAGTACTTCTAAACTACAACTATCATTTTGAATTATGCATGTGAATCTACTTAAAAAGGCTTAGCCAAGCATATAGATACTTTATTAAATACGAAAAGCCTTTGACTTCATGAACATTTTTTAAGCTTCATCTTTGCTATTTATCACCATGGTTGAGTTTGGCCTTGCTTTATTCATGTCAAAGTATCATCATTAGCAATATCAGATTCCTTGGTTGGATTTTTACTCTAACCACTCTCGATTCTATCCACATCAGAGCATCATCATTAGCAATATCAGATTCCTTGGCTAAACTCTTACTATAGCCATGCTTGATTCTATCCATGTTGAAGCATCATCATTGATGACATTAGATTTCTTAGTTGAAGTTTTGCTTTGGCCATCTTGGTTCTATCTATGTCAAAGCTTCATCAATAACATCAAGTCTCTTAGTTGGAATTTTGCTCTAGCCATGTTCGATTATATCTACGTCAAAACTCTTCTGATGGCATTAGATCTCTTGGCTAAAGCTTCGTTCTAGCCATGCTTGATTTTATCTTTGTTAAAGCTTCATCAACAACATCAAATCTCCTAGCTGGAGTCTTGTTCTAGCTGTGTTTGAATCTGCCTTAGTCAAAGCTCCATCAATAACATCAAACTTCTTGGCTGAAGTTTTGCTTTAACCATGTTGAATTACTTATGACACATTTACTTAAACTAAAGGGTTCACATGACTTGTCTCTATAACAGAAATGCTATGTTATATTTCTTATTGATAACCGCAATGGAGTCAGTATCGCCAAAAGCAGTACTCAACTTTATTCTCATGTATATCACTAGAAGCAGCATTTATCCACTTCATTAGGAATGATACAGATATGTTCTACTTCAACAACATGTTTTTATGCATGGCCAAACACGGCTACATTTATCTACACAACATGGCTGGGAATTTTTGACGATCATGTCCTCTACAGTAATATTTACTACTACATCTTTCTGGCTACATTTATCTCCATGACATGGCTGGGCGTTTTTGACGATCATGTTTACTACTACATCTCTTTGGCTCCCAACATTGGATAAAGAGTCTATCTTGCTATAGATACGTGGCTCAGCATTTTTGACAATTATGTACTCTATAGTGATGTTCACTGCTACATCTTTCGGCTCCCAACATTGGATAAAGAGCCTATTTTGCTACATGGCTCCCATCAAAGGACAACAAGCTGATCTGTATTGCTCCTAATGATGGACAATGGGCCAAGCATCTATTTCTACATATCTCTGTCACTGGTTCCCATCAATGGTAAATGGGTTAATCCTATTACATCTACATAGCTCCCAACGATGGACAAAGGGCCAGATTTGTTATCTAATTTAGTCTCCAACAATGGGTAAAAGGCTACATATTTTTACATATCTTCATTACACTGGCTCTTGGCAATGGACAAAGGGTCGAATTTTTACATATTTTATCTCACTAACTCTTGAAAACAGAAAAAGAGTCAGCATAAATCAATACAATTAGTGTGAGAGGTCGATAACAGTTATAACCCTACGATTGAATGATATGACTACCCTCCAGTGATAAAAAACAATCAAGTTGTGGCTGATGGTCCCTTGGTCATAACCTATGCATGGTGGTGTGGTGCCCGGTGGGCAACAACAACTAGGACCCCCTTTGACAGTGCAGGTACAACAAGAAAGGCCAACGTTTGTTAGTGGTATCACACCTTGTCATATCGAAGGCCATGGATGCGGCTGGTGTCCCTTTTTCACGGAGACAACTCCACCTATCTTTATCATATATCGATCGCTATGGCGGAATCTAGCTTGATGAGATTTACCCTTTCGCGACTTGGCGGATTAAGAGGAATGCTTTTTCGATTCACATAATTCACACTCCAGTTATGGACAAAGCTAGCCAATGTTGTCCCTCTTGCTATGGGAAGCTATTCATGGCTGACCCTGCAACATTCATACCACATGGCCAGCAGTCATGCACATCATCATTCTTTTATGCAAAGGGACAAAATTACAGGTCACTGGTAATCCCAATCCACAACATATTTCTTCTATAGTTTACGTGTTAGTAGGTATTATCAACTAGCAATGTTTGGCTCGAAACAACGATATTGCAGCAAAAAATGCTATACATGAGCTGGGTTGGAATACTCTATTAAGTATTGCCAACCATCCATGTTACTCATTCTTTATTTTGGCACAACACTAGATATATATAACAATGCTATACAAGTGCTTCCTATGACAAATGGAAAAAGAGGCACAACAATATATACTTACATCTTCTCCTTTGATGCATGAAAGAGGTCAACAAAGCTCTTTAGCCAACCCAATGATATTCAACATGGCCAACAATCATGAACACACAATTACATATTGATATATCTTCAACAGTAAGTCTATCATGGAAGGGAAACATTATCAAGGCCTAGAAGGCTCACATGGATAGATTTCATCCATTATGACTTATTTACTACATCACTTGGACACAAGGTCCATTTTTGCTAGAATACTCTATCTTGATCAGAAGGTCCATTTTTGCTAGAATACTCTATCTTGATCAGAAGGTCCATTTTTGCTAGAATACTCTATCTTGATCAAAAGATCCATCTCTGTTGGAATACTCTATCTTGGACAGGAAGTCTTCTTGAACATATTGGGTCCATTACGTGTACATCAACATATGTGTACTCATTTCATCTTCATCATCATTTTATCATCTCTAGCAAAAGGAAGGCTTAGCGAAGCTTGTTGGTCCCGACCTACAATTATAACAAGTCTATAGAGAGTCTTCATCTTTACTCTATCTCTTAAACAAGTTATCCATCATTACTGGTTCTCCATTCCTTGAGTGGAGGGTTATTGCTTTACTTCACATCATCATATTTCACTTAGATAGAGCAGTCTATTATGAGTTCAACAGCTTGCAACTTATTGCTATGTCTCCATCACTGTTTAATTCATTTATCTTCACCAGACAACTTCTTATTGTCAAGTCACAAGAGAAGATGAAGAATTACAAATATTTCTTGATGAGCACGTACATGGGAGATTCAAAAAATTCACATGGCTGGAGGATTATAGTGCCAGTATTACTTTCCAGTGAAGTTGATGAATGTTCATCCCCAGTGCTGTGCCTTCAACTACTTGCTTAATTTTCATTAGAATGTTATCTTCCCCAAAATTAGCTCGACAAGTATTCCTAAGTGTCAAGCTTCTCATTAGCTCCTCTTCAACTCATCTTTATTAAAATTTTCATGACAAAGCTTGTGCACAACAATCAATATTTTCCAACCATGAAGACACAAAACATGCAACTTATCTACAACAACATGGCTGTGAACAATGCTCAACACTTTCATTCCCCAATGGAGGAAAATTCTTTACAAGCTTAACCAAGCTGTTAAGGGAGAGCTTTATAGTAATCGCTCTTATTATTATCATCATCATCATGCATGCAACATAAGGATGGGCCTATTCTCTGACGAAGTCAATCTTCCACATTTAGCAAAACATGGCCACAGTTTTTCAAGTTGTCACATAATAAAGATATTGTTGGACAACATCAAACTCATCCAATATTTGGCCAAGTTTGGACATATTCATCTACAAGTGCGAAGACTTGTTGTCACAACTTTCTACACTTGGGGGGCTAATGTTGATGGTCGTTTTTGTAAAAGGTCAAATTCAAACTCAAGTAGTTTCCACGTCATCAAGAGCCCCTTAACGCCTTCAACATGCATTTACCAAAAGACCCAGCAATATCTAATGCTGTAATACATGGTTAGGTCCAATAGTATCTAATGCTATAGTATATGGCTGCATTGCTAGACATACATAAGGAAGTCTCATTCCTTTATTATTTCCTTATTTATTAAATTTCATCATTTTCATCAACTAATCACTATCTTTATATGGAGGTCGTCAATAAACCCATGAATCCAAGCACATAGGGATTATTCAAGATAAATTATGGGAGTAGTGGGTTGGTAGGCACGAATGGATGAACATTGCTCGTTTGGTGAAGCGAGGTATTCGCACTAGCTAGGCTTGGAGCTAGTGATGTTGCCCAAGTTCCCCAAAAAGGGCTGGATGGCAAAGACATGGAAGTTGAACTTGATCCCAAAACCATACTGTTTGATGCTAACTAGAAGCTTGGAATCTCATTCAAAACCAACTAGAGATGTTGTTTTATTTTCCAGCAACAAGTTGCAGTTGTATTTAATGCAAAGGTCACTGCACAAGTTACACTATGTTGGGAACTGTTGAAAATAGTGGCTACATAAGTTCCATGGCCTTGGAAACTATTGAAAAAGATTACCTTTTGCTTGGAAAATCTACCAAAATCTTGGGCAGATCTAATTTTGCTGACTACACTCAAATAACCCCCCAGAAATGGTATTTCATATAGCTGGAGAATTACTACAATTCGGCAATTTTTAGTAGATTGGCAGTACTTCGCTGGAACCACTGGGTAATTTATAATATCATTGCCAAAAAACTGTTAGGGTGAGAGACACTCCCAACCAATAAAGTTCACTCAAAGATCAAAAACTCAAGTTAGAGCACAAGTTGGTAGGTAAAGATATTTAATACAATGCCTAAAAATTTATTCCAGATCTTCTACCAACCATATTTCTACCCCCTTGGTCGAAAATAGTCATTTCTGGGCATTGGGGTTCAATACATGCTCTGCAGATCAGTTAAGTTCGAGCTGCAAATTTGTTAATAGAGTCGGCTTTGAATTTTAAAGCCGGCTTTGTAGTCTTACACTTTCTAATTTTCTAAAGAACCGGCTGCAAATGTAAAGCCGGCTTTAGAAATATGACTTCAAAGACTAAACAAATCTTTAAATAACTTGATCGATATGCATTAAATGGGCCATCATAGCCGACTACAAAGTTAAAGCTGACTGTGCATCCATTTGTTGTGTGCGCCAAATTGTAATCTTAAATTTTTCTCCCGTAGAGCTGACTGCAGCTCTTAGAGTTGGCTCTCTACACTTTTGCTCACCAAAGCCAGCTACAAAAATGTAGAGCCGGCTCTCTGCACCCAATTCATCACTTTTGGTCCATTTTTAATGTAGTTCAAGTTCACTTACTTTTGCAATCTTTTTTATATGATTAACTATACACTTAAATGAATAAATTTATTACTCAAATGTTTTTTGTAGTCATCAAAATCATATATAGGTACAACAGCTCTTGTAGAGAGTTCTTCGAGCCAACAGTTTATTTTGGAACTAAACGCGAGGGTGGCATCATATGTGTGAATGTTTCCTTGTATTAGTGAGACTTGTCTTAACTGGAGTGGTACTTCATCATTGGATTGGGACAATAATTCTTTTGAGAAGTAGCTTATCATGTGCTTTAGGTTAGTGTCCTTTGATCCATTGCAAGCTCTATGAGCCATTTTAGTGGATTATAATAATGAAATCTCATTTTCCATAAAAAAAATTGTATATTAATTAATTAAAAATTAAGGCTTTTTTTATTATCATTGTGCTTTTTGATTTTTTTTATTTTTAATTTTTTTGCAATTGTTGAGAACCAAAATTAAAACTAAAAATTGATATTTCTTTAAAACAAGTTTTAACACTAACAAAAAAATTTATAAACTTGTTTAGCAATATTAAAGTTATTTTTATTTCTATTTCTTTAATAATGATACTCCCTTGTTTCAAGATAATGAACTTTTTTTAAAAAAATTTAAAATTTGTCTCAAATTAATTATTGTTTTTTCATCTTTTAAAAGAGAGATATTTTTTCATTCTTTAACCTTATCATTATCCCTTGACTTTAATTATTTATCCCATCATAAAATATATTATTTTTCTGACGATAAACAAATTTTATTTTCTAACTTATAAACATAGTGCTTGTAAACATTATGAATATTATTTTAATTTCAATTTTTAGTGTTATAAACATTATCAACATTATGCTTATGTTCTTAATTAAAAAAAATTATACTTATATTGGTTGGGTTTACTTGAGTATTTTACTTTGTTTACATAAATATTTTATTTTTTATTATGATAAAAGAGCTTGAGTTAACCAATAATTTGTTGATTTGAGTGAAAGGTAGTCTAAGTAGAAAAAATTTGTTTCCTCTTAACTAGGATCCCGATTTTGAGTCTTATAAATAAAGAAATAGATATCGTAAATACTTTCATTTTATGGAGTCTAATGCAACTTAACCCCATATTATTTGGGGTTTAATATAACTTCCAAATACAAAAGATTAGTACAAATTTGTAAAGATACATTTCTTTCAAAATTAACAAGTTTTTTTTGTCTATATTTTATGTAGTGTAAACAAAAAAATATATATGGGGATATAATTTAAAACCAATTCAACCAAACCAAATGGTTTTGTTATGTATTGAAATTAGATTCGATTGGTTTGACAATTTTAAAAATTGGTTGAGAAAATGACCGCAAATTGAACCATTATACTTAAAATAGATTTCTTTTTTTTTTTCAATAATTCTTGTTTTGAAAATAGGCAATTTTTTTTTAATGACTCGAATATAGATTTCAAACATCAAATATGCTTATTTTCCAACCATTTTTTAATGAGATTGGGGTTTTTTAACATGTACTACGCAAGAAAAGTACAATTTAACTATTGAAAATTTCAAAATATCATTAATAAATAAATTTGGAGGAAAGTTTCATTAAAAGTATTTTGATAGTTTTCATGTACTTTTAGTAAAAGACATTCTTTGTTTTGCAATTGAGGTTTTTTTTTTTTTTTTTTTTTTTTTTTTTT